AAAGCCCCCCGCCTTCAATTTTCTTAGGACGCCTATAATAATGCTATACATCTTAATAGTCTACAAGGAACTGGATACATAAAATAAGATGTGAGAAATACATGACGTGTAAAGGCTTCCTGTATATATAAGTTTTACATTCAAATCTGCTATTTTTTGTTAAATATTTAAAATCATCTGTGAGAAATACAGTATAACAGTTTCTGGTAAATAATTTTAAATTATTTAAAATTAATCTGCTATTTTGTTTAAAAAAAGGGAAATTTTATAGGATTTCTTTATGCTTTTTCATTAAAACAAAAGATATAAAATTACACATCGTGTCATATTTTTGAAAGAGATAGCGTTTTTTTGCAGAAAATTTGCATGATGATAGATATAATTTCATAAATCAATATCAGTAGTTTCATACATGTATGTCCTTTAGCAGACAATACTTTTTTTAACACCAAAGTTGCAAACACATAAAAATTATTTATTTAATATGTATTTCATTTTTTTAACCAATATATTGATACAAATAAAAAGTAAAAGATATTAAACAGAGTCCGAGTTTTCTATTGCTTATTTGCACCAACCACAATGTCAAATATCAGATAATGTTATTCATGTATCGCTGTATAAAATTTCCCAGAGTAAAGATGTCATCAATAAAATTAAGAGAGAAGCAATTGAAAGTACATTCGGGTTTTCAGAATGTACGTATATCATCTCAGTAAATGAGACCAAGGAAAAATATATTCAGTATTTTTACCTGCAATTCAGAAGATAACAACGGGTGGAAAAACACAAAACGGTACTTCTAATAATATTATTTAATAAAAACTTGATAACGATCCAAAACTTTGCGTTTCGCCACTATCTGTGTGTCGGGGTTGACAGTACAAGGTCGTATACGACGATCGTGTATGAAACAAACAATTTAAAACAAATACAATGAAGGGTAACTCTAAGTAGAAGGACATATTTGATAGAATTTATTAATACTAAACATTTGATCTCAAGTAGATGTGGCACCAAATGGCTTGCGGTCAAGGTCTTTATTTATGCAATTATTATGCACATGAAGACATATTCAATAAAATTAATAATAATAAATATTTAAAAGCAATAACACGTGGGACCAAATGATGCCATTATTACGCAATGCCATGTACATGGAGCACTATAACAAAATCAAAGTACTGAGAGTACTGATAGGCGGAAGCATGACTGCAAGTTCTTATGTGCAAAACTTTAATGACACGTGTTTGAAGCATACTCTATCTTATAATGGGGGGGGGGTGATAAATATTTTGATGGATTGTATATGTAGTATTGATGCCAAAGAAAAAGAATAAAGAATTTGTCTCCCCTTTGAGGAGGAGCCATGAGAATAGATGAAGTCAATAGCAATATGAATATTCTAACTTTTTTTTGTAATGTATAAAATGTTGACATTGAAATGCAAGTTGCAATTATACACTAAATTTATTATGCAATCTTGTAAGATATGGTTTATTGGGACAAGAAATGGATAATTATAAAATTTCACACAAAAATGAGTACTCATGGGTAATAGAAGACAATAAACATCACAATTACTGCTTTTTGTTTTTTCTGTATAAGTTGACTCAGTACCAATGAAACAAAGTCTGATTAAACAGCAAATTAAATAAGAATGTAACATACATAGAAGACCTTACACAGATTTACAATAATTATGCCTGTGATTCGAAAAAATGTTTTGACTCAAAGCACGTATTACCGAGGTAGAACAAATCACAAATCTTTTATGCTGATGACAGGTGTCACTATGTCCAAAATAAATGAAATATTTTTTTTCATATACGTATAGCTTCTGCCATGTAAAATCCTTGAACGCAAAACATTTTTTTATTCCTGTGGTAAATTTGTCTTTTGGGATTGTAAAACATTGGTAAATGCATGTGTCATTTGTGGAAATCCCAATATCAGTGAAGATTTCTTTTCTGGAGATTGTCTCCACCATTCCCCTGAAAACTGTCTCTCTTGGCAGAATTTTCTACAAATTGTGTAAGTGAAAAAGAAATAACATGATGTTTATTTAGCAAAAATACCTTTACAATTTATCCGATTTTCAATAAATGAATCAAGGACTTCAAATAACCTTTTTATGATACATTAAATATATTTTCTGGAGAAGTCAACTTAACCGGATACTGGATCCAACGTCAAAGTATCGAATGCTAAAAAAAGGTACTCGGATGTATATTATTTCTTATTTCAAAGTACATATTATTAATATCAAAAACAAAAATAGCTGAAATATGCAAACAGAAATAAGTATGTCTTTATTATATACAACTGTAATATACCATTATTGTCTTTACATGTAGCTATAAATATACAGTAAAACCACTAATTAGTGATCAATAAGCAAGCAGTCACAGGACTGTTTTTTTTTTATTTTTTGCTGAATGGCTTCAATGATTGTTTTTAGTAATTATATAAACATCATTTAAGTATTTTCAGTATAGAGCAGTGAAATCTGACATGCATAGAAATGCCGCTACCCACTTCAAAAGTGAGGAAATATTTAGAAATAACAAAAAAAAAATCAATACAGTTGAAAGTAGTTACTTAGTTACTTTAGTGTATATACTGGGAACAACTAACAAATGAAAAAAATATGAGACTAGCGATCCCAAAAACATCCCTTCCTTCTCTTTCGCTAGTTTGATAAACAAACCTGCACAACAGTTTATCCTCCTTTTGCATTAGTCTAATAGATTAAAAAAAAACATTTGTAATTTTTGGTGTATTATTTGTGCATTTGTTTTCTATCTGATAAATTAAATTAAGTACCAAAAATAATTTCCGATAAAAATAAGGTTTATTTAATAGCGTCCTCTTATTCCACTACCTTAACAATAACTCAACCGACATCAACAGCCAAACAAGATACAACTTTAACCCTAACTTCACATGTAACATCACAAACCACAACCGACCCGATAACAAAATGATACTATCATCGAAACCCAAACCAACTGCAACTCCAGCAACAATAGCGGCAGACACGGAAACATCTAGTGAACAAATGGACACGCACACCCCAATCCACACTAAAGATTCTACAGAGTCTACACATTCGAAGTTGTCACGCACTCATTCGATTCTTGGGGCCTAGGCTGCATTTTTTGGCGATGAAGCAGTAATTATGGTCACGGGAATAATAGCCAGATGATGCAAGAATTCGTGAGTATTATGTTTTTTCCAATTCATTTAATATATATAATGAGAATAGAGATTGACCTCATAATATTACAAATTGCCAAAAAATTCTGATGTTATAAAAGCTCAGAAAAGGTTTATTATCTTCCAATAATCCCTGACCATGTTGTGTTACTGACGATGTTATCAGTCACAATTCGGCAGAGTTACATTTTTCTACAAAAGCAATTGTAAGAGATCTAAAACTAAAAAAATAATGTCAATTGACATGCATAAATCCGTTTGTTTTTAAAACAGAAATGATAATCCAGAAATCCAGCAGAAAGACTATAGACAGTTCAAGGATTGGAGAGACTTCGTCCTTTTTAGAAAGCCTTTGTATAATATTGATTATTTCTCAGTCTTCGATGACGATTTGTACATACCACATGCATCTCTACATAATTTCAAATCCAGAGAAGGATCTCTTAATATCAGTCAAAGAGGACATCAGAAATGTTGATTTCTACTTATCCGAATCCATGCCTGAACTTTTGCTCGCCTTTATTTCTACAATTTTGTAAATTCTTTGACTTTCAAATTGTTACATACACATGTAAACACATTTTTTATATAAGGTTTTAATTGCGAATGGAAGCATTGAAATTGCTGACAATTTGTTTTAAAAAAGGAAACGAACATTGCATATATGATATGAAAGGTAGAAAATAAATTCAAACTATTTCCTCCAGGGTAACGTCATTTGTATTTATTATAATGTATAGATAGGTACTTATGGGTTCAAATGTTTAAAATCAGTAATCATTTAAAGACTGTGTTGTTTATATCTGTTGATGAATGCACGACTAGATAGAGAAAAAGAAAATATACATAAGGGATTGAAACTTCAATTTCCAATTGTTATCCAGGTTAGTACTTGGGGTTTGATTTAAGCAAACTTGAATCTACGCTTGCTGAAAAATATGACTTATGAAAGCCATGCTGTTGTTGAGAAGAATGTTTTAAAAGATATTCTACATGTCGTTCAAACCGTTATATCTTATTATAGCCCACCTCTACCCCCATGACCATGATATGAATAAACATGATTATGCCCTAGCTGGGAATGTCTGATTATGAACTTATATCACTAGTCATGGGTAATCATTATTCATGGATGACAAATTTTAGCGTTTACCTCTCTTACATATGTCTTTTAGTTCTGCTATTCTTTAACGGAATGAAAAATGTATTAAACTTTTATAATTGGATTGAGATTGGCATGATTTGTATTGCCCACATCGCTCATCACGACGACCAAACGCGTCTCTAATTTTGAAGATTTCACTATTGGCAGTAGACCGTTTCATGACAAGAATTACAATGGTCTTCACTACTTTAAATATATTTATTAGTATAAATTTGTAATTGAAAGAAAAACCAAAAGAATTTGCACTTTAATAATTCACATCACTGTACTTTTTAATGTTAACTATATAAGAAAGAGCAAAAAGAAACTGTCAAAATTAAACAAAAAACGGATGAATGATTTGGTGTACATTTTAAAACTATTTTCGAATAGAACTTACATAAATAAATAGAATACTTTTTGGTTCTCAATCATTAAATATAATGTAATTTTCTGCAAGACTTTACAAAATTTGGGACATGGCATTACCGATATTATAAAATCTTTAAGAACATCTACATTCTTCATAGTTTTCAAGGTCTCTTTATGAAGGTAACGTAAAATTTTTAGACGTTGTCGATTTCTTACCCAAGAAAAATTCCCAAAGGCAAAAGTTATGTTACAGAAAAAAAAGAAATTTTAAACCAAATATCCTTGTAATTTTATTGAATAATAGGGGAACGATTCTTTGATTGTCAAATTTAGGACACATTTTTGACATTAATATGACATTTAAAACATTTTTTGTCTCTACTTTTGTTTTGTTTTATATTTATGTTCGTATTTTACAGGTGCACCTCTGTATTCATTAGATGTTTTTTTTATTGGTTATAGTAGATATTTTCAGCGGAAGAGTCATCTAGAGCCCGGATATTATTCAACACACAGTTGTATATCAATCCATACTCCTCCTACAATTCAAATTTATAAAATTAGTTTTTTATATATAAAAAAAAACTAACGGATTGTTTTATCCCTTAGCAACTCAAGTTTAAATATCTTATCCTCTTAACACATTTTTGCCATATTTTGTTTTGCCAAATAATTTGCTTTACGTTTGATACATTTGCAAAATAAAAAGAGTCAACTTCAGGAATTATTATTTCATGTTCTTAGAATTACCATTGAAGAACATAGTTCCGGTCGTCTTATTTGTAGTTGTCTGACCGTTGTGAAAATATCCACCTCCCCGTCCATTTGTAACTGTTGTATTATATTGTAGACAGCACAGAACACTCCACATAGATCCGCACCGTTCCTATTAAAAATCAATAACTGTATACAATTGTTATTAAGCGTAGCGAGTCCATGACTTTTAAGTTTTAAACACTTCCTTTAGAGTGGAAATAATCTGTAGTTTGATCTATAATCAGAAAGGGGAATATCGAACAATGTCTTATCTGAAAAATCTGTGAAAGAGCAATTTTTATATAAAACAAACATTTAGGTCAAAGTTGGAAAGGTGTTTTAATCTAAATGAAATATGCTAATAACAAACGGCCTCAAGAACGATTATAAAAGTATAACATAAATTTACTAGGACTAATTGTGTACACAATATTGACTCTACATCGGAAAGAAATAATAAAAATTTTTTGGTACGTTTCAAATGTAAGATAATGTAATGGAACATAATTCTGAAAAAAATGAATGTTTTGTCGACATCTATGTTCGGAAAACTGGCTTTCGCCAAGACACGCATGCTGGATATCGCTCTCGATCGCTATATTGAAGATCCTGTCCATTTTGTCAATAAATTGCTTAATTTGGAATTCAGCATCATAATTCATCATGCTGGCATACATAATTTAGACGGTTATGATTCTATAAACAATACAAATATGTGAAGAGGGCCTTGAACACAATTCAATGCAAACAAATTAGCATAGCTTGAAAGAGTTATCTCTTATCAGAGTATCGATGAATTTTAAGAACATTCTTTAATTGAAATTATTGTGAAAATTCATTCTTATGCAAATCGCTTTTACCTGCTAACAATAGTTACGGGGCCCTCCGGTTCATTGTTTGAAATAAAAGACACTAAACCAAGGAGCTGTGATACGCTTGTTGAATGATCCGATGGCTTCAATCCATACATAGGCTGTACAATTGCAACAGACGATGCTTCATCATTCATCTAAACATATGAAATATAGAGAAAACTTAATAAAAACTCAAAAGCTCATTGAATCATAGCCCGAAATATCTTTCCCGACTTTCTTATGAACGGTTCCTGGCACGTAATATATCAAAATGTAAAAACGTCTGAAAAAAGTTAGATTTTTCGGTATTTACCGGGTGGCAGTAAATACAAATTTTACAACATGCCAACCATGTTGTGAATTTTGTATTTACTGCCACCCGGAAAATTCAAAATTTACAACATGACAGAATAATTAAATCAGATTAAGCAGGAAACAGATTAAACATGGATCATTGAAAATCATAAGAGGTGTAATCAGGTGCCTTTCCCTGGATAAAATCGCGTGTGCTCATTTACAAAACCTTTCAAATGATTTACAAATAGTATTTAAGTATGCTCAAATGCTCAAATGAGAAAGAAAATTAAAGTTTTTGCCACAATTTATATGAAAAAGCGTTGAAAATCAGATGGAGTAGGGTTGTGTTTTCTCCCAGGAAACTATTTAATATATTAAGCAAGTCAATTTAAAAAATGAGGTCGATGTTTTAGTGGATGGGAGATGCAACACAGATAAAATGTTTAAAAATCATTTCAAGAGGTCAAGGCCAAGGGGTCAAAAATCAAAGCAGGTTTGGAAAAATCTTGTCACAGGTAATGTCGAGTTTCATATTCAATATTTAAAGCCCCATCTTTTCTCAATAATTTTTTTTAACCAAGTGAAAGTTTAATTTTTTTGAGAAATAGGTCAAACCTCGAAGTCAAGGATAAAAAACAATGGTATACATTAAAATGTAGCACACACTTCCTTTAAGTATTGGAACTCTTCACCTCTAAGGAAAAAGACAATAAGGCTCAAACTACGTTGCGTATGTCCTTAAATAACAATTACAGAATAATTGTTCACGTGCCTGATTTTGATTCTCTCTTACGAGGGCTGTTCGAACATTATTGAGACACTGTGTATATTTTGCTTTCAAATGAACGTCTTTCGGTGAAAATTTGCATATACATTTGACATACACTGAGAATTGATATAAGCAAAATATTTTTAACAAATATTAAATATTTTATGTACAATGGTCTATAAATGCGTCATTAGTAGGGGTACCCGGAGCAGTCTCGAAATCAGATATTGAAAATATGTAACACCAACTTTCTAACTCTTCGTGGACCCATAATAAGAGCAAAAAATAATTCTGTTTATGTTATAATTTTTCAGCTGTCATTCAAATTCGTGTTGTGCAAATTTGTTAGAATTTTGATCAGGAATATGAAGATTATGAAAAAATTAAGCGCGGTAGAGAAATCTGCTAAGAACAAAAAAAATGGATTTTGACGTCAAGGGCGGAGCAGCAAACATACCTAAAATTTTGTGTAGCGCAATGTAGAAATCTTTTGCAGACTCAACGACCTGCTAATACAATAACAACGAGAAAAAAATGTGTTAGGGTTTGTTATTTCATTGCTATACATTTTTTTAAAAATTCAACCAGAGTAAAACAAAAGCTCCGGACGACCATCAGTTATTACGTACGGTATTAACGTAGTTACGGTACTAATATCGTTGACCTGCGTTGCACAAATCAGCACTGCATGATTTTAATACATCCTTTTCCACAAATGAAAATTTTACACTCAGGTAGCAACAGCATACATTTTTAAGGAACTTTAATAAAAGAGACTGTTTGGTTTTTGTACTGTAAAATGTAATTACAAAGAAGAAAAAGTATACATGCTTCCCGATCGTTTTACATGCGAAACCATCGCCGGCTGACGTGACGTTAAATGACGTAGCGATGCTGCTCCGGGTCGATAGACATACGCATGTTTATCATTTCACCGAAACTTTTCTTATTATCATAGGAATTAGAAATTTTGCAGAAGTGTTTTATTCGTTCTCTATAAAATGTTGATGAATTTTCATGAAAGTATCTCCGTCCTTTATGCAGTAAATGAAATTGTCTCAATAATTTCTGAACAACCCTCGTACATGTAATATATATCGTTGAAACCATGCAGTATAACAAACTTTAAAAATGCATTTGCACTCAGTCAATAATACTTACCCCATTGCTAACAATGTGGACTGTGGTACACTTAATGTTGGTGTGTTGTTCCTGTTGACAATGTACGGTGAATGGCGGTATGTTCTTAGAACGATGAGCGTCTGGAAGCCATACTTTACTCTGAAGTACGTAAATCAATTCAGCTAAAGGTCAAAGTATTAACTATAAAAATTGTTAGAAATACAGCCACTTTTCTTATTCCTAAGAAAAAGATATATTCACCGAGTCAATATCTGTCAGAGGATCCATACAAATCACGATATCTGATTCATGGTCAGTGAGCAGGCGAAGGAAGTCAACAGCGTCCTCCTCTGTGGGGTAGTGAGTTACTATGAATGCTTTCTGGTTAGTGTAGGACTAAATAAATGAAAAAAAAAATTCTAAATGCAGAACGAGACATTATTTTTTTTTAATTTGACAAGGTAACGTGTTTCTTCTTATTTAGATGTACAGTTTTCAAAAAGACATATTCATAGTCAAGATAACTTGTTAAAGGGATTTTAATAGTATGGCCTTCATTGCAAAGACACTGCTTCAAATTAAAAATTATGAACCAAACAACATATCTTACTGTACATGATGCCCAGTGAAGTTTCTTCCTCCATCGATATAGATAAATTTAATAATACGTACCTGAAGTGTGATTGCATTGATATAGTTGCCGCGTTTTGGAACATTTGAAGACAGGAAAAGACTGAACTTGTCAACTGTAAATTAAAACCTTATGTAGAATTAAGCATTCATTTTTATAAAAAAAATATTTTTTTCATTATTTTTTTTAATTTTCTCTCTCATTAAAAAAAATAAATGGTTCTTCTTAGTCTTCATTTTAAGGAAAATTCACAGACCTCTTCCATATTAACTTCTCCGTTCACATATGACTTACGTGGCAGAACAGACGATTTCCTATTTCCATGCTTTAAAGCATTTTTGTAGTCTGCTTCACTGTACAATGGACGGACTTTTAAAAGATTCTAAACATAAACACGTTTATAACTATTAAAATTCCTTCCAAAATTCAGGTCTAAAGCAGATAAGAGACTAAACATAAAAATTATTTTTTTTTAACTTTAGAGAAGTAATGACATAAATAAGGTACTCAAAAATATTCAGAATATTTTCATTTTTGTTATGGCATAAATGAATCTAGATACAGGTTCTTAATTCAAAAAGCCATGTCTCAAAATCCTTCTTTTTTAATAAAATTGTCTATATTTCTAAGTCTCAGGTAAAATGCAAAATAATTGCTAATCGTATACTTAAACCAGGGCTTTTACCAGCCTCAAATTTTTGTTTTCAATATACCCAAAATCTTGTTCTAAGCTATATATTACTATCGTCATTTGTTCATCTTTGAAACCTATTGTTTTTTGCGCCTCTCAGACTCATTTGAATTCTTTTGTGTTTGAGTTTGTTGTGCTCTATTTAACTGAGAAAGATAATTTGCAGGTAACAGTGATGACCATTTAAAACATTTAGCACAATTAATATTTGCCAGCTTCTACAAAATAATTGTCTCTTGATTTTAAGGCCAGCTGCTTCAACATCTTGTTAATTTAATGAGATATAAGATTTGAGTTCGAGGCCCTTTCCGAGGTTGTAATTTGTCTAGCACAATGTCATTATGAATGAATAAGTTCAAATTAAGTTCTTTAAAGATTCTCTTGAAACGTATTTTGTGATTACGAAAATCAGAGTACCTGAAACTCCTTTCTAAGTTCGCTCTCATTCGCTGGTTTATCTCTGGTCAATAATTCTGCCTTCTTGACAAATTCTGTTCTGCTACACACACGTGATGGAGCTTTGAACATTTCGTTGAGAACCAAAAAGACTGTTTTGTATTGTTCCTGAAAAGCAAACACTAAATTAGGTAGATATATACAATGTACTCAAAAGTAATTCGGCTCAATCTTGAAAAGAACTTGTCACAAAAATAACAGAAAATAACATTGATTTTATATTGTGTTATATTTTGTCCAATAAGAATACAAAAACATGCATCACACATAATTAATACGGCAAAACCGTAGAGTCATTGTGTAAAATTTTCGAGGAAATTAAGACTGGTTTCGTTAGCGTTTAATTTCGTGAAAGATGAATTGACTAGTCATGAATATGACATTTTATTTTTCGTGCTTAAGTGCCTTAGCAGGTGTTTTTACCTTGAAAAAAAAATAGTATGCTATTTGCAAAAGTGATTGATTTCATGGTTTATGTTTTCAACACATTACATGTATTTGATAGTTACATATGTTTGGATCATATTCATCCTGTTTTCTCTCATTGTCTTCACGTATTCTGCGATGTTGACTCTGCCATGTTTCTGGCCCTCCTGGTGTAAAGCGTCTATAGCGATATAGGTACCAGTCCTGCCAATACCGGCACTAGAGACAAAGAACTTTGAAGTTTTAAAATAATGTCTCAATGATACGCATCTACACAATGAGGCCAATAACTATAAATTAATTTCGGAGTTGTGGAAATAAAGATTTAAAATGTATGGAAATTTTATGAAACATGTTGAAAATGTGCAGGTAGGAATGACATGAATTTAAATATGGAAAAAAAAAATTCCAACATTTTTATTAAAATTTAACTTAAAAATTTTGAAAAAAAATTTGAGATCACTTAGTAGTTTTTAGAAATATTTATATTTGTCCGGTTGTCAATAGTATGAATGGTATTTTTTTAATACACACCTGATAAAATGAAACTGTGTCTACCATGAAAAACATAACTATGGCAATATTGAACTTTTATAATCACCATATTCCTGAGAATTCTCATATAAAAACATTTAACACTTCTGACCTGCAGTGCACTAATGTTGGACCGCCATATTGCTTTTCCCTGGTTCTAGTCACGTGATCATGGAATACTACAAGACAGAGCGGTTCTGGAGTCCCATGATCCGGCCAAGCAGTATAGTGGTATTGTGTAATCAGTCGGCTATCTTTTAACTGAAGAACAAAGACAAAATTAAACTAAATACAGTTCGTCCTATACTAATTTACTGAGATATTTTTTATTCTACTAGGATAAAAGAACAAATTAAAATGATATTCCAGACCTTAATGTAAAGAGAGAATAAGTTCTAAATTTTGTTAAAGCTTACTTTCTTTGATTTTTTTTTAAATTTCTCGGTAATCAGGTTTAAAAATAGAAATTACCCCTTTATGTGTGATTTTTATTTTCCTAATGATATAAAATGCGTAGATTTTCTCTTCCTCCAAACTCAAAGACAATACACCAGATGTAGACGATTTGTGTAAATCAGGCCAATATTGAATACATTTGACCTGCAAAAGTTAATAAGATGCTAAAAAAAACATGAACTACTTGTCATAAACTTTTTTTTTTACTTATTTGCAAATAATAAATTTAAAAGCCAGGTTATACTGAAAATGTATAATATGTTTTGGGGTAGTTTGCGCCTTTTTAAAATTCCATTTCTTCTCTGTCATTATGTGGAAAAATACGAATTTCAATCATCAATTACAATTAACAACAGAACTTTATCTTCTATACCTTTTTACGAGTATTATATTTGCAATGGTCACTTTATTTTACTATTTTTATTTATGACCCTTTTTCCTTCATATTATCTTAAATGGTATTTTGAAATAATTTTCATGCTGGTTACCTTGTTGTCTTCTTTCAGATTGGTGAGCATGACAATTTGTCTGACATTTTCCTGCCATACCAGGGTCCAAAAATCCGACAGTGTATTTTGTTTCGGTCCTGCAATGTATATTGTATATTTGAAGTAAATGATAATTTTATAAAAGAACATATACCGTATTAGACAGTGGAAATATTATTGAGACGCAAATTTAGCGATTTCTCCTTAAGAAGTAGTAATTAATTCTAAGCGAGAGGTAACTTCAGCGATTTTAAAATGATTACTAAAGAAGCTTTAACATATAAAATGCAATTGATTTTTTTAGCGATATTCACTTTCAGTGATCTCATGACCATCGCTAATAATGCCAAAATTTAATCCTCGCTAAAAATTCTTTCTATAAGGTAAATTAGTAAGTTTTAATCCAGATAATAATGGGTTTGGTTCTCATACATCTTACTCATTCCTATATTATAGCTTTTTCTTGACTGTAACCAGGAATTAATTAAAATTACCTTGTGCAGCAATATATGCATTCATTTTTTCTAAACTCTAAAAAGAAATTGAGAGGATTATTAAATAATATATATGGTGTACATGTGCTGAACATTAACAATGCATATCGTTTAAGGTACCTGAGCAATACTAGGACTAAATTTTATAACCTCAAATTTCAATTGTTTATAAAAATACCCTGGTATCATTTTAGAGCATTTTAGAGTAAAAATGGATTTACCTAGAGGACACTCATTTACATGAGAAGGAATTAATCATTGAAGATTGCATTGAAGTCTATGGAAAGAAGTTAGTTATTAAGTTTTGAAAATTAAAAAAATAAATACTATGAATATCAATAAAAGCTGTGGTGGAAAGATGTATTTATTATTTTCTTCTTTAGATAGATTTTATTATCAAAGGAGGATAACTCTTTAAAGACAGGACAAGGTCATAATTAAGGACATGCTTCACTCTTACATGTTAACACTATGCGAATAAAATTATTTCTTAAAAATATTCTGAATATTCAACCAATACATATCTATTATTATGCATTCAATTCCATATAATCTGAGGCATATATTGGTTTGATACCTTAAGATATATAAATATATTTTCAAATAATTATTATCCCCAAAGTAAGAGTTTGAATAAAATGCTTCCTTTACTTACGTCGATAAAGTTAGCGTTAATATAGTCAGGTTTCCTGTTGGACAGTTTCACTCTTGAATGATCATCTGCAAGCAATAAAATTTTTATACTATTTAAAAAAAAACAGTTTATATCTTTCCATCAAATCTTAAATGAATGTATAAAACCTACATGGAAAGGTTGTTTTGAATCTATTTTTAGGTATATTCTCTGAGAGTTTCCCCGCCTCACAAGCTTTTCGTTCACCATATGGCAACGTCTGTAATACAAAATAAGATACATCTATTCGTTTGCATTGTTAATAAAGTTAACTACCTAAAAAAAAGTTTTCTTTACTTCATATTAAAATACGAAACTTACTGCGTACTCTTTCTTGAATCCGTCATCTTCTTCCTCTTTATATTCTTTGATAATCTTTTCTAATTTATTGATACTGATATCTGGAATTGATTCCTCGTTTATATATAAATCACCGTATGGATTTTCCTCATGTAATTTCTCATCATCATCCATGTCGTCTTCTTTATCGTTGTTTTTGATTTCCAGTTCATCATACGGCTGATCTGATCTTGCAATATTTTGCTGCCCTTTATGGTCTCTGGAGGGCGAAGATTCCTCCAAATTTTCATAAATATCTGTGAAGCCAGTCGTCGTATTTATGGTTCGGGTAACTTTAAGGTAAGTGACAAATAAGCCAATTTGTAATATTGTAGTGTCAAAATCGCATGCATTTGTTTGCTTAAACATAAGAAAACAGGTAAGTATTTCATATATTATACATGTACTTACCATTCCTAACGGCAAAATCTGTTACCTTTTTGTTATCTATATTTATTTCACCTGGCTGTTTGGTTTTCAAAGATCGAAATCTACGTTCAAAGACATATGTATTTTTCTTATTATTCACATTTATATAAATCTAGGGATTAAAAAAAACACATTCTTTTTCAATACTTAGTTCAATGGTGTCCTTACCTTCTGAAAATTATCAAGGAAACTATAATTATAATGACAATTGCAAAAGCTGCGACGACACCCCCTATCACTCCAGCATGGATGGAATCAGATGAATCATCGTTATGGGACTGTAGAAAGTGAACAATGGTTGTTAGACGAATTACAAATAAAACATGTTCATCTTTAATCAGTGTTTGGTAATAAATGTTATAGATATCAATTACCTCCACGTTAAGCAAGCATTTTCCCGACACGTGGTGGCATGTTTGGTTCAGACAGCCTGTACTACAGATTTCTCGACACTTAGCGCCCCAGTATGGTATGCTACAAGCTTGAGAAGAAGTTTTGTCAAGTACCACTAATTTCGTTTTAAGATACAAGTTGAAGTTACCCTTGATATGTTACTTGACTTTTACGATGAACGCTGACTTTTACAGTCGACGCTTACTTTTACACTAGGGCTATGTACGGTAGCTCTTTTATGATATTAATATTTAGCTCAACATTTAATCAAACGGAAATAACGGTTATTTCAATGCACATATATGTTGTCCTTGAAGAAAACGACAACGACCCTACCCTCAGCTCCCGGTCTTCACAAGTTAGTGCCCCTAACACCATACCTATGACCACAAGAAAGGTTTTCTTATGCATTATCAATTCTGTACCTCTGTACATGATACAAGTTTAAATGTCCAAGTAAACGTCAACTGTAGAAGTCAGTGCTTCTCGTAAAAGTCCAATACAAGGTTGCAAATAATAAACAGAAAGAGTTAAACAGGTTTTCATTGAAATTAACACGATTAATTAATAAATTATTGGAGTCCTTACTTTCGTTACAGAGGTTGCCCATGTATCCAGAGGTACATCCGTTAAAGCACGTGCCATTAATATGGTCACATTGTTCATTGTCAAGACAGTTTCCACAGTTCTCATTGCAGTTAGCACCGTACATTCTACCATCACATTCTAAGAATAAAATGGTTTTTATGTTTGAATGTAATATTTATAAGAATAAGATTTAAGTTTATAACAATCTTTACTTTAAAATTTTCAGTCGATATCCTTCATTTATCTTAACATGTTCGAATTCAATTACAATGTCCATTTAAAAACAAGTATTACCAAAAAGATATACACGTTTTCGAAAACGTCAACCGAACTCTTCAGTTTTTTTCTTCTTACATCATTCGTTGGTAATATTTTCCTTAACTTCAGTACAATAATACATACTTTGGTCACATCGGATCCCCTTCCACCCTGGCTGACACCCTCCCACACACTGTCCAGTAAATCTGTCACACGAGTTAGGTACGCCGCAGTTATCACTACATCTATATCTACAGTTCTTATCATAATAGCCCGGCAGGCATGCTGAAATTTTCCAAATATTGAAATACCTTTAATCATTAGAAAAACCTGTATTTAATTTGTCAGTTTAGTATTCTTCATTAAAATGTACGTGGATTGTATGTCAAAGTTAAAACACAACGTTCGTTTGATGTTTTTCTTAATGTAAGAAACTGACAGATTGGTTGATTGTTGTTAACCTCCAATTCAAAATCAATATATAAAAGCTATATTTTTGTATTAATTCGCATCTACAATATCAATTCAAAGACATATTAAAAATAGTGAAATACAATCATCATCATCATTTACAAAAAAATGAAAACTTATGGAACGCCAGAGCTGTCTTAAGGGTACAAAATATGCATCATGGTGTCAGTTCGATATAACATTAAGTCAAACCTTTATATCATTAAGTCTACTTAATATAACATGTCGTCAATTCTTTATATCATTAAGCCCACTTTATATAACATGTCGTCAATTCTTCATATCATTAAGTCTATTTTATATAACATGTCGTCAAATCTTTATATCACTAAGTCTATTTTATATAAAATGTCCCCATTTCTTCATATTATTAAGTCCACTTTCTATCATATGTCGTCAAATCTTTATATCATTAAGTCTATTTTATATAACATGTCGTCAAATCTTTATATCACTAAGTCTATTTTATATAATATGTCGTCAATTCTTTATATCATTAAGTCCACTTTATATGTTAAGTTGTCGATTTTATATATCATTAAGGCCACCTAATGCGTAATGCAGACTATTCTTCATACCATTTAGTTCACTTCATATATTTATACATATAAATACATATTATGTAGGCTATTCTTTATATCATTAAGGCCACTTTATACATTATGTTGTCTATCCATTATATCATGAACCCACTTTATGTAATATGTAGTGCAGAAGCTATACCATGCTGACAAATCAATGTAGTATATAGTCGGATGCATAATAGCATCCAGTCAAAATACAAGAATGAAAGTATAAAATCATCAAAGGACTGAGGGTACTCAGGCGCAATAATTTTTGACAATTATTAATCAATTCTTAAAGAATCAATGCAACAGTTAATAACTTATTAAGACAAACATTTGAAGGAGAAATATACTGAAAGAAACTCTATTCTTTTTCATGTCCATTTTCCCAGAAAGAACAAGGGCGCTTTTGATTGGTATTCGACAGGAATTTGATTGATTGTATATTGTTTAACGTCCCTCTCGAGAACTTTTCACTCATATTGAGACTCCACCACTTGCCGTTGGAGAGCTTAAAATGTTTTCCTATACTCGGCACTCGGGGCCATTGAGCAGTGAGGGATCTTTTTCGGGCCAGCAACTTCTGCAACACGGGACCTCGGTTTATACGGTCTCATCCGAAGGACCGGTCTCCACGTTCCACAGTGAGATTCGAACCCGCGACGTTAGGATTGAATCCTTATTTCGCGATTCCATAGCAGACGCTCTAATCACTGCGCAACGCGGGCGACTAATCTGGGCGCACTTGAAAAGTGAAAATTTCATTGATCTGTTACATGAAAATTTATCATTCTTATGATGAATCGGGTTCCTGTGAAATAGGAAAGAGGAGTATTTTCTAGATGCTTTGTTTTGTTGAAAGATAACTTGAAAAGTGGCTAGATGAGAAATTTGGTACCAAATATTACAATCTTTACACACGTCTTTCTAAACATTTTGTATCTGTGGGTCATCTTATCATGAATTTGAATCGTTATATGTGTGTATTTAAATCAAAAGAAACAAAAATGTGTTTAAAATATGGAGGAAAGACAAGGGGACTACAAAATGAAAAATGAATGATACGTCACCGGACCAGTGCAATAAAAAAGAAATTTGTTTGGTTCGATCCTTGCACGGAGCGTTGAAATTTTTCTAAATAAAAGTACTTGCATTCTTTTGATAAGTTTAATTTTATGTACTGATATATATTTTTGAATGGATGAATTTCGGTCCCATACTACTGAGAACGAAAACATTTTTTCCATCCTACTGATTCGAAAATGCACATGTACTTGGAATTGAATTTAACTATCCCCTATTATCTGATATAAGTGTTACTTATATTTTGGGAGGCGTTTACATTATGTCACAGTAGTAATAAAGATAAGTGGACTTTTCCTATGCTTGTTCCTCTGTAAAGTGTCTCCAGTCTTGGTCAGTGGACCAAATCTTGAACATTTAAACAATAATTATTCAGTACAGATTGATTAATTGTATGTTGTTTGAGTCCCTCGCTAGAATTTTTCACACATATGGAGACACCGCCACTTGCCAATGGAGAACTGCAAATTTGTCTTCTGCTCGGCATTCAGGGCCATTGAACAACGGAGGATCTTTTTCGTGCCAGCACCTACTGCGACACGGGACCTCAAACGGTTTCACCAGTCTCAACGTCCCTGAGTGACTTTTGATCCCGCGACGTAAAAATCAAATCCTTACTTCGCGACTTAAGAAAAGAGACTCTAACCACTGCGCCACGCAGGCGACTGTTCAGTTCAGATGATTCCTGCATATCACACGCTAAATACGCAAATTTTTAAAGACTAGGAGTACCATAGCTGCTTCAAATATGTACCCATTTTACCACTACAATCTCATACTGCCGTAAATAATACTAGTAGTCGTATGGCAACTTTGTACCAGTAACCAGTCAATGAGAAGTAAACTGAGTAATAGCTTAACTTCAGTTTCAATACTAAGAGTAAACAAATTACAGGCCAGCTGTCGTATTCCTTAGACCTGTCAGAGAGCTAAAAAGGAATTCTCTCGGAAGTAAACTAGACATTCAAAAAGTCGGTTTCCTATAGTCGTCTAAGCTGGTAAAAGTTCTTTTTTTATGATTTTCTGAAAACGTGCGACCTTACCTGCCTTCGAGTATTTGTATAATCAAGTAATTAAGTCAAAATTAATTGTCTAATAGTATTAATTATCAATTGTCTAAAATACATGTAAGTATTAATACATTATAACGCCTAAGTACTCTCAGTCCTTTTTATTAATTTTCTTTTACTGGCTGGTAGTTTTTGACAGCATGCATCTGACTTTGTAGTATATCGATTTGTTATCATAGTAAACCTTTTGTATTAAATTAAGGAATCGCTGTCTAGTTTGGAGAGTATGCCAGGGCATTAACGAAGCCCGTTATGCTAAAATTATCCCATGTTTCCCACTATTGTTGATGTCCCTGGCATACTCTCCTAACTAGACAGTGATTCCTTATATTTCCATTTCATTGTGAAATAAAATTGTAGACTTAGACATTAAAAATGTAGACCAATAGATTTAAATTACATGAGGACTTCCATGCCAGTTTCAATTGTCCTCGCGAATTGACGTCAAACACAAAGGCAGTCGCACGAGATTTACATGCATATTTGGCCTCTTTAGCGTCGGACACAGCGACAGATGCGCACGAGATTTGCATGCGTATTAGGCCTTCTTAGCTGCTGACCTATCGACCTGCAGAATTATCAAGAAATAAACTCCCCCAACTTTCAAACATTATCACAGAGAAAAAAAATGGAAATATTATTATATAAAGAAGACTTAATTATTTAAACAATAAAATGCTTTCTTTATTTGTTGTTACTGGAATGAACGGAAGCAGCTGTTGCAGAAAAAAATACATAACCTGCGTAAGCGGGTTATGTAATTTTTTTCTGCAATAGCTGCGACCGTTCATTCCAGTAACAACAAACAAAGAAAGCATTTTATTGTTTATATTTATATCTGTTTAAATAATCAATTAAATTAGGATTTAAAAGATTAATTATTGTATTAATGATGCGAACGTCTTTATACGTTTCATTGATGGAACAGCCACTGATTAAGAAATCTGTACAGGCGACCTGCCTACTGTAGTTTATGCAGTGATGAACGCAATGGGGTTTCTTAAGAAATAAAGGAGAAAATATTCAGTGGATGTAAATATATAAAGAATAGACTACATGATATATAAGTGGACTTAATGATATAAAGAATAAAGTCATAGACTACATCATATATAAACAACTTAATGATATTTAAAATAGACCTCATATTATATAAAGTGGACTTGATGAAATAAAAAAAATAGACTACATATTATATAAAGTGGACTTAATGATATAAAGAATAGACGACATATTATATTAAGTGGACCTAATGGTATAGAGAATTGACGACATGTTATATAAAGTGCACTTAATGATATAAAGAATAGCCTACATAACATATAAAGTGGACTTAATGATATTAAGAATAGACAACATAATATATAATGATATAGGGAATAGACGACATATTATATTAAATGGACTTAATGATGTAAAAAATAGACAACATGTTATATAAAATAGTCTTAATGATATACGTATAAAGAATAGCCTACATAACATATAAAGTGGACTTAATGATATAAAAAATAGACAACATATTATATAAAATAGACTTAATGATATAAAGAATAGACGACATATTATATAAAGTGGACTTAATGATATAAAGAATTGACGACATGTTATATAAAGTAGACTTAATGATATAAAGGTTAGACTTAAGTACAGGTCTCTGTAAGAATCAGACAAAAGGTGAATCATGAGGGTTCTCAGAATTGGATGATTTTACACACATAGGTTTCTCTTACACTATGAACCACTTATGTAAAATGAAAATTATTTTGGGTCCTGGTTACTATGGAAACATGGCCAAGAAATTTTCCCTAGCAACCGGTCAATTTTCAATGTGGATGGGCAAATATATCACTAAACTTAGAGGCTTGAAATTGAATGCGAATATTACCAGAGGGGTTCTTAAATAATGTTATCATAAAGATAAACATTTCAAGTGATAAAACCATGTAAAACATAGAATTTTTATTTTAAGATATTTCCTTTACGGGCAATAGAAGATGTGCATAATTTGCATTTTTTGCTGATTCAGCATTTTTGTTAATTTGGGCATTTTTTAAGGCCATATATCTCAAGCTTCCGGCACAATACAAGAGTA